TCGACAAACAGTGCCATCTTTCTACCAGGCTACGACGTCCACAGATTTGACAGGACAAGCAAAAAAGGAGGCGGCGTTTGCTTGTACATCAGAAATAAGTTTAAGTACCGTCAACTAAGAACAATATTTGACATTGAAACTGCAGCAATTCACCTGCGGTTGGATGGAAATCCACTGAATATCATCTGTACATATCGACCACCCTCAACACCAGTGTCATTTTGGCAACAACTCACCAACACTGTTGATGACATCGCAGCACAGACACCAAAATCGTCTCACACCATTGTTCTTGGTGACTTCAATGTGAACATACGAGACACTCAGCATCCTCACCACAAGCACCTGCAGACATTCTGCCACACAACCAGTCGCCATAACAATAGTGACATCGCCGACTAGACTTCCTACTGAATCCATCTTAGACCTAGTACTAGTACCCAAGACATTCGACAACACCCACCTATCTCAGGCCACACAAGGCAGACACTTCACCCTGAACAGCTGCACAGTCGAGCCATGCGATGCATCGGACCACCAGCTTGTCCTAGTTGACATGACAGTAACCCTCCGTTCCCTCCCAAAGGAGCAGTGGGTCCAGACAAGAAAGCCGCCCATTAGATCGATTGATATGAGTAGCTTTAGAGACCAACTGGCATCCGCATTGCTCGACACATCCACTGACACCACGACTACTACATGCCAACGAATTCGACTATTCCAACACAACGTATCTGAGGTCCTGGACAAGCACTGTCCAATGACAACCGTCAAACTACGTGGCAAATACAAACCTGCCCCTTGGGTAGATGACGAGCTCCGAAAATTGTTGTTCAGGAGGAAGCGTTCGCACAGGAAAATGAGAAAGAACCCAGCTGACCCGCAACTAGTCCAGAACTTCCGGACACTGCGGCGGCAATGCAAACTTCTCACGCGTCGCAAGCAAGCCACATTCTTTCAGAACGAATTTATTAACAATAGGAAGAACCCCAGAGGCCAATGGAATGTTCTAAACACTCTGCTTGGTCGAATCAAGATCCACCGTGAACCAGGTGCAGTGGTCAAAGACATCACAGCTACATTCTCCGAAATAGTATCACCGGGTTCGCCAACTACACCAACCGCTACAACGCACACTACACTGCCACTAGGTCCGATGCCTGAACACAACTATTGCACTTTCGACCGCATCCCGACAAGCCTCGTAGAATTCTACCTAAAGTGGTTGGACTGCGTAAAGCGTGCGGCCCCGACAACGTACCCGCAGCAATCTACAAGTCTGCAGCTGACGGGATTGCCCCTGTTCTCGCTCCGCTATTTTCAGACTCACTACAATCTGGAACTTTCCCAACTCCGTACAAACAGGCTAACGTTCGGCCAATACATAAGCGAGGTGATCACAGCGATCCTACTAATAACAGGCCAATATCGCTCCTTCCGCAAATGTCAAAGCTGTTAGAACGCTGCGCCCTTGACCAGCTAATGGAATTCGTGCGTGACGCTCCACAAGCAAACCAAGCACTGCCGCCTGAACAGTTCGCCTACAGAAGACAACACTCCTGCGATAACTTGCTAGCCTTGGTGGCGAATGACTGGCAGCAAAGTCTGGATGCCGGTAAATTTGTGGTGGCAGCGTTTCTTGATATGTCGAAAGCATTTGACACGGTCAATCACAACATGCTCCTGCAGGAGCTTTTCGAGATCAGCGTCGGAGATAGCGCCCTGCAATGGTTTGCGAGCTACCTACGAGGCAGGCGGCAGCGAGTGGTAACACGTACGTCCAGAGGTGAACTGTACGAAGCTCACAGGGGAGTTCCTCAGGGATCCACCCTCGGACCTGTGCTCTTTAACCTGTCTGTACGCAAATTGCCCACGGCAGCATCTTCCAGCATGGTGCGCCAGTACGCTGACGATGTCGCCCTGTACCTAGCAGGCCACAACCTACAACAAACTACCGAAGAACTGGCCCGAGATGTGTGCCGTATCAGGGACTTCCTCAGTGAACGAGGACTAATCCTGAATGCCAGCAAGACCCAGTTCATTGTGTTCCACTCCAGATCGAAAAAAGTATGCTCCTCCCTCCGACTAACCATTGACAATGTCTCAATTCCACCAGCGACCACCATCAAGTACCTTGGTATGACCTTTGACCAGCACCTGACATTCGCTGACCACATCAGTGCCCTTGAGCGAAAGGTAGGCGACAAGCTAGCTGTGTTTCGTAGAATCCGTGACCGTCTAACAATTGATGCAAAGATAACCTTCTACTGCTCGTTCATACAGGCTCAACTGGAGTACGGTTCCAATGCTTTTTTTATCACAGTCTGCAGGCTGGGCAACAAGATCGCTTGACTTGCCTCAGCAACCGTGCAGTTAGAACTGTTTTTGGTTATCCAAGGTTCTGTGACATTTCCACTATTCTAGCCAGATACCAGCTAGCTTCTATCTCCTTACGTTTGAGATTCAAATTGTTTGTACTTATTTACAGATCATTACATAGGTGTGCAGCCCGCTCTTAACAGACTGTTTTGTGACTAGAGTCAATGCCACACACACAGCGTCAATCACCCGCTCGCAGGTTACTCTGTCTCTTGCTCTTCCCCCGGCTAATAACCGCTATGGCTTGTACGCATTAAGCTTCTTAGGTGCAGATCGCTGGAATTCGCTCCCTGCTTCTGTTCGTATTTCCTCCACGCTATCAGACTTCCGCTCATCTATACAAAAACGTATAGGGTACCCCGTAAGAAGGCCTTAGGCCTGTGGGAATGCCCTATTAAAAATTTAATAAATAATAATAATAATGGCTAGGCCTTGACGGATTATGCTAGCATAATTTTGCGCATAATTCCTACCAAAATCGAATAATCGCATAATTCGAGGCAAATTGCATACGAATCGCATAAAATTGGAATAATCCGCCTGTTCGCATCAAATTCCATACAGTTGTACATGTTCTACAAGTACAAGTAGATGCACTAGGAAGTTGAAGGTTTACGACTCCCTTGATAACATGTCCAGTCCACTACAATCAGTGATGGTCGTAGCTAGGTCGGACGGTGCGTTGACCCCGTTGAACTTTTGCTGCTACAGTACAACGCCCTCTACAAAAAATTCCCCTGTTATTTTGCACAGAACCATTATGCATTGGCAGCATATGTGAGCATTATGCGGCAAAATAATTATGAAAACTTTTAAGTTTAGCATAAAAATAGCATAATTCTGCAATTTTCCAGCAATGCGAAAAGCATAATTTCACGAAAATATTAGCATAATCCGTCAAGGCCTATTTCTGGCAGTTTTCTAAAAACAGTTTTTGTGTTCTAGTCCATGGACCTCGTCTAAAAAGTAAGAAATTAACGAAATGTGATAGCTGAAAATTAAAATTTCACACAAAACCTCACAACAATCACACACAGAATTAAAAGCTACATGTAGAAGACCGTTTCCCCTCGCGATCCTCTTTCCTATGCATGCATGTTGCCAATTGTTGGTGCAGTACAAGTTAAAGTTGAAAGCAGCATTTCAAGTGTTGTGATTATTGTCAGATGGAATAGTGCTCCATCTGATATCCGCACTGCTGCATCGCCATCCCTATTTCGCCATGCATTACTTTCATTCTTAGGGTGCGTTCTTAAATCCTCTCGGAAAAGTTGGAGACTCTCCGAAAAGTTCGAGAGCTGTTCTTATATCCTCTCCGACTTTTAGGAGGCTCTCCAAAGCTCTCCAAGCTCTCCAAGCTTCAGAGGTGGTTGAAACCAGGGAGTAGTACATGGTATTGTACTACTCCCTGGTTGAAACTTGGAGATTCCCGCGGTTTGGGATCAGCGCATGCGAACTACGGCCGGCTAAAAGCCACATGTTCATCATGAGTGTACGCATTTCCCTTTTCGCATACGCACATACATTCATCACTCAAGATCGCGGCCTCTTTGACGCTTCATTTTGCTTGACATGTGCAAAAATCTCCGAATTCTTCGAGGCCCGTTCTTCAGTAATCCCAGTTTCTTCGACTTCTCTTTCCTTCTTCTTCTAGAAGCTAGAGAATATAAGAACGCACCCTTAGGGTACCCCGTAAGAAGACCTTGAGTCTGTGGGGATTGCCCTATCAAAATAATAAAATAATAAATAAATAATAGTTGTAGAAGAGAAAAGGACATATGGATACGAGTTAAGAGTAACTCTCCATCACTGTAACATGATACTATATACAGTCAGAAAGTGCAATAACTAGGCACAAAACTGACAGAGTGCTGAGACATTCGACGTCCTGACACCTAGCTTCAACACATCTCCGTAGCGCTAACCGACAGCCTTCCAACTTGGAAGGTTCAAGGTTATGGAAAGACCAAAGAGGGGAAGGCAAGCGCAACTAAAACGAGCAAAAGCTTTCTCTTCTACATTAAATTTTATTTATGGCTCAACATCCGAGTTTTAAATAATAGTTGTGAGGTTTTGTGTGAAATTTTACTTTTCAGCTATCACATTTCGTTAATTTCTTACTTTTTAGACGAGGTCCATGGACTAGAACACAATAACCTTTTTTAGAAAACCGCCATAAAGCAGTTTTTATTGCTATAATAATCGGTAGTGTGAATGTCCTTCACGGTTTATCGGCATTCACGGTTTGACGGGGTTCACGGTAGTCTGAACGCGCCCTACTTACGTGGTGTATGCTCGCACGGAATCAAGAGTCCATGAACTAAAAAAAAAAAAAAATGAACTCCGGGGTCGGTGGACTTTTGATGATCAAGAGTACATAACATATGTACTCTTGATGATATCTGTGAAGGTTCAAGCCAGGGAGTAGTACAATACCGTAGTGTACTACTCCCTGGTTCAAGCTGGAGTTCAAGGGTTGAAGACTTGGTTGATGCGCCTTGGCGCGAATTTATTAAACTCGGTTGCCGATTGTCCACTACAAGCTTGGTTGTCTGAACCTTCGAAATTGGTCAGTTGACGGTTTCCTAATTCCACGCTGCGGTTTGTCTATTGGAGCAAAGAGCTCTTATCTTTCTCCACGCAGCGTGGTTCTTCCGAGACCACTTCTTAATCGGACGTCTTCGACTTACTTATCTCTCCCCGATAGCTCTCTCGCATGATCATCTGGAAATTAGAAGTAAGTTCTGTTGTGTTTGTTTGTTTGTCTTCGCCAGAGTCACAGGTAATGCTGACCGTTTTGATGTTCAAAATAATAATAGATTGAGTAATAATAATTATTATTATAAAGTTGGTTGCTCCAACGAGGAGCACACGCTTCTTGCCGAACTTGACACTTGACTGACTCACGACTGGCCTCCAACAACTAGTCGGACGTCCGCTTGAGGGACAACACTACGACTAGTTGTTGGAGATGACAGCATTGTGAATAGCTATACTGGCTCTCAACGTTTGTTTAGCACCACTCCATGAGCGACTCTGACTCACGCTGCTACCTGGGGCTTCACGAGGTGTTTGTCGCGCTGGAAACAAAGCGTCTCTGTAAGTTTGTATCCCTGGTGATGGTTTGGCCTGGAGAGCAGTATATAAGTGGTGCTTTTCAGGCACAATCTTCCTCAGCCTACTCAAGCTCAACTGATGAGGGGTGAATTCCCCGAAACACTGTGTATTGAGCAGGGAGTGGTGCTTTCTTTCAGGTTTGCCGAGCGGAAGGTTCGACGTGCTCCTCGTGTGCTCCGGATGCCAGTCGTGAGTCAGTCTAGTGTCAAGTTCGGCAAGAAGAGCGTGCTCCTCGTTGGAGCAACCAACTTCATGACTATTACCGCCGAAGTCGCAACTTCTAAGTTAATAATATGGGCCGCGATCAGCTAAAACATGTCTTTGGGGTTTCGTAAAAAAGTTGGGAAATGACGAAATGAAAAAAATGTTTTTTTGGAGCGCGTTCACTCTGCACTTCATTCTAATGATTCATGATGTGGCGATCATCTTCTCAAATTTTGTTCAAACACTTGTTTGGCGTTCTACTTCAAGTAGCTGGCGAGCAAAGACTGACAATGTCCGCATCTAGTGATACTAGAGCAGCTCGCAGGGCCAGACGATCGCTGTGCATGGCCCAGGTTTGTTCAAGTGTCTGCAAGTCCGTGGCGGCGGGTCTGCAGAGCGACGCTGACAATTTGTTGGGATCTCATTGATGTTGATGTCAACAGCGAAGCTGAATCGTTCCCGTCGTCTCCAGTAGCGAAGAGGCACAAGTTGTGGGCTAGTACATAATCATTTAGGCGGCGAACCGGCTGCCTTACGACGTTACTTGCGTTCAGCTCTCATGAGGCGTCTGACGCAGTCTCGGAAACGCAGGCGACGATCGAAAGTGTCACTGCCAGAATCGAAAGAGTATGCAAGTGCAACGCCGCCCAGCGCATCGTGTTGCTTTCCAGGAAGAACTTGGGCCATGCCTTTGAACTGATGTCGTTGACATGCTCAAGTCGGCGTCAACATTTTTAGTTCCGTTGTATTGTGCTCCGCCACAAAAGCCACTAAGTAATAGGTTGTCTCTTTGTGTCAGACTGTGCGAAAACTGTCATTTTCTATTTCAAAGTACATATTTTGAAAGCGGTGTTTGGGGCACTTGTAGACTACTTTTCTGCCCTGTATCACCTTCAAGAGGTCAAATAAGGTCCCAAGAACTGTTTTCTGGAGGAAAACAAAATTTGAAAATTTTCACCCTAAGACATGTTTTAGCTGGTTGTGGCCCATATTATAATAATCTTTTATTCCCGTAGCTATGCAGAAGACGTTACTTCAGTAACGTCTGACGCTAGCTAGGGTCCACACAGCTTTAATTTGGTATTTGTGTGTTTGTTTGTTTGTGTCACGCCTAGCGCTATCCGTATCTGACGGCAAGAAAAGCATAGGATGTTATAAATTTTTCAATTCTCCTATTTTTTCAGGCATATCCTGGGATTCGAACCCGCACTATCGCCCTACATGCATTCCCCCATACACTTCGCATTCATACCCATTCTTCCAAGTTGCTTCACGTTATGATCTTGCATTTGAAAGCCCTATTTGAATATTGCGGGCAGCTGTATGTGGCCAGCTGTGTTTGATGGTACGGTACGGGAGACGGTGTCGTATTACCCTCGATCGTACCTGTCCCGTACCTATCCCCTACCGTACCGTACCATCATAGACGGCTGGCCACAATGCATATTCAAATAGGGCTTTCAAATGCAAGATCACAATGTGAAACAACTTGGAAGAATTGGTATGTATGTGAAGTGTATCGGGGGATGCATGCAGGGCGCGCGATAGTGCGGGTTCGAATCCCAGGTTATGTCTTAAAAAATGGAATTTGTAAAGAATTTATATCATCCCTATGCTTTTTTTTTGTCTAGGTCATCAAGGCAAAAAGCATAGCGTAGGGCCCTGAGCTTCCAAGCTCTCTCGTTAAGAAAGGGTTTGCTCCCCACACTGGAGCTCGCAAACCCTGGAGCAAACCCTTTCTTACAAATCATCGCCGAAGCCGCAACCACTACTTCGTATTATTATTATTATTATTATTTTGGTGGTGACAGTCAATTTTTTCTTCAGACTTTTCCCGTTTGTGTCTTTCCCTCGAACTAGAGAAGATTATTATTTTATTATTATTATTATTTTTTTAGTTTTTTCTGTTATTACCTTAGTGCTAGGACTATTTGAATATTGCTGGCAGCTGTATGTGGCCAGCTGTGTTTGATGGTACGGTACGGGAGACGGTGTCGTATTACCGTCGATCGTACCTGTCCCGTACCTATCCCCTACCGTACCGTACCATCATAGACGGCTGGCCACAATGCATATTCAAATAGGGCTTTCAAATGCAAGATCACATTGTGAAACAACTTGGAAGAATTAGTATGTATGCGAAGTGTATCGGGGGATGCATGCAGGGCGCGCGATAGTGCGGGTTCGAATCCCAGGTTATGTCTTAAAAAAAGGATTTTTGAAAAGAATTTATAACATCCCTATGCTCTTTTTTTGTCTAGGTCATCAAGGCCAAAAAGCAAAGCGTAGGGCCCTGAGCTTCCAAGCTCTCTCGTTCATCATAAGCAATGTTACAGTGCCTCAATTGTAAGCTGCGGTGCAAAAATGTTTATAACTGCTAACCAAACCTGGTCTGTACTAGAACATAGCGAAGATCCCTTCTCATCGCTCTAATTCTACCTGCACTAGTTCTCGCATCCGCTTTCAAGCGTCCTCTTCCCTTGCTCTTCCGACAGCCAAACGTCGCTATGGTTTAATTTCTGTCACTTTCCTTGGCTCTGACCGCTGGAATGCCCTCCCAGCGGAGGTCCGCTCAAGTTCTTCCTTGCATACCTTCCGTAATTCTGTTCTTTATTTTTTAGGGTACCCTGTCAAAAGGCCTTAGGCCTGTGGGGATTGCCCTATCAAAAATTTAACAATAATAATAATAATTGGGGCTGGGGCTTGGGGCTCCCCGTGTGCTAGTTTGTACGTGAAGTGTGTGGGTTACAGTGAGGGCTGCGTCCCACCCGCCTGTGTGGATTCACAGGAAGTGTGAGTTACGAAGTCTGAAGAAAATGTTGAACAGCCTCTGCTGGGATGGCAACTACACCATAGCTCAGTGGTTGGAGCATCGCTGGCTACAAGCGAGGGTCCCTGGTTCGAGTCCTGGTGGTGACAGTCAATTTTTCTTCAGACTTTTCCCGTTTGTCTCTTTCCCTCAAACCAGTTAATAATAATCTTTTATTTTAGAAATAAAGGGAAAGGAGAAGGGCGAAAAATGTTACGAGTTATGACTAACTGCAACTCGTAACAATCATGTTTTGCCCTCCTCCTTTCTCCATAATTAAATTCGCTCATCATCCGAGTTCAAATTATTTATTTTCTTCGAACAATTTCCATAGTCAACACCCTCAACGGTAAAAACAAGGGTAATACGATATTTGCAAAGTAAAATTATGATAGCAAAATCAATTAGTGATCAAAGCGAAGTCATGAACATTATCCATCGAATCTGACAGATAAAGGTTGCAAGGTCAGACCAGGCATGTTGCAGATCTAAAGCTGTTTACGAAGGCGTGAATGCAGTTGTGTTCGTTGTGTTAAGCTGTGTTCACAACTGGCGCGTGTACGCGTGAAACCACACGTTTGTGCATATTTTTGCTGGCTTTTGGGGCGCCATGCGTACGGAAACACGCCGAAATGGAACTTCCAACATGTTGGAATTTTCAGCGCGTATCAGGCGCGTATCAGCAAACATGCTAGTCACTTTGACTGGTGGGGTCAACAAATTAGTACTCGAAGGTGTCGCACGCGCTAAATACGACTCGGATTGCTGTTTTTTGTGAAAGGCTGAGCGCGCGTTTGGCGGCGCATGAACCGCAAGCGTACCGCGTCCACGCGCCAGTTGTGAACACAGCTTAACTCCGTAATGTGATTATCAATAGTACCACGTAACACATGTATGTTGTTAGCCCACTTTGCGCTGACCTACCTAAGGTCAGACCAGGCATGTTGCAGATCTAAAGCTGTTTACGAAGGCGTGAATGCAGTTGTGTTCGTTGTGTTAAGCTGTGTTCACAACTGGCGCGTGTAGGCGTGAAACCACACGTTTGTGCATATTTTTGCTGGCTTTTGGGGCGCCATGCGTACGGAAACACGCCGAAATGGAACTTCCAACATGTTGGAATTTTCAGCGCGTATCAGGCGCGTATCAGCGTACATGCTAGTCACTTTGACTGGTGGGGTCAACAAATTAGTACTCGAAGGTGTCGCACGCGCTAAATACGACTCGGATTGCTGTTTTTTGTGAAAGGCTGAGCGCGCGTTTGGCGGCGCATGAACCGCAAGCGTACCGCGTCCACGCGCCAGTTGTGAACACAGCTTAACTCCGTAATGTGATTATCAATAGTACCACGTAACACATGTATGTTGTTAGCCCACTTTGCGCTGACCTACCTATTGCGCTTGCACCTGTAACTGACCACAGACCGCGCCACCACTCCCCTTATTCATGGCTCACACATGACGGGTTTACGTGGCTCTAGTTTAAAAAAAATAAAAAATAAAACTGTCCCAATTGATGTGGTGTTGACCACTTCGCTTTGATTACACTTTTCACGTATCATTGACGAGATGTGACTTGTACATCTACAGAAGAGGTTGGCCAAAAATGCCAGGGCACCCACAACACATTTTGGATATCTAAATGCTTGCATTGTCATGTAGAGTTGTGCTATGCACCTTACGACGTATTTCTGATCAGTACTGTGCATAAATACATACATACATACATACATACTCAATCTGCGGAAAGCATGCTGCATACATACATACATACATAGCAGACTCAGCGGAGGACGTTCAGGTTGGTTGTAACTCTGAGTTTCATGCCGCTAGGCAATCATCAGACAACTGATACTCGGGTCTACCCAACAGTATGCTTATAAACACATAGGGCCGCAAGCATAAACAAATCTGGTAGCAGGAGGGTGGCGGGCAACAGGCAGGTGTGTGCATGAAAGCGCGGAAAGAGGCGATGGGGAGGCAGTGTACAGCAGATGGGTGGGGGGTGCCAGGAGGGTGGCGGGCAATGGGCCAGTGAGATCGCTACAAGTAGGGAGTCGTTTGGTGACGGGCAGGCGTGAGCAGAGTGACATCGCCAACAACAGGCCAAGGGATTGTGTTATTAATAATAATGGGTGCTCAGGCAAAGTGCAGTACAGTACTTGGTCAGTTTATTTGATAGGTGTGAAATTTGCGAGGCGGAACTTATTCTCATGCCTGCATTTCGAGACCATCATCATCATTTCGAGTCGAGAACAGACGCACCCACTGCCTCTCGCCGCTGAATAGCAGGGATCTTCTCGAGTGCATGATAGCGTCTTCCTCCTGCTGGTCTATGTTAGCGTACTGCTTCGCGAATGATAGGGCACGGGTCAACAGCTCCTCAGTGATTGTTGGGTAAAACTCCACTTGGTTTGTTCTGGCTCTCGCAGGTTGCTCTTGTCGTGGCTGCTGATGATCGCACCCATGTTGGGCATGCAACTGTAGCTCACTTTCAGAGTGTAACGGTTGAAAATCTTTCCGAGCTTGGATGTTTTCGGGAAGTGCCTGGAGACAAGGCTCAGGAACCTACTAGCGACGTTTGTGCTAACGTTTTTGGAGTAGGGAGGGTTGAACCATATGACCTTCCGGCTGTGGTTCTACCTGCCCCTGTGCTCATGTGCCCCGGGCTGAAAGCTCAGCACTTCGGTGTATCCACTGGCCTTTAATGCGGTCTGGTACAAAACAAACCAAGGCATGCAACTGCAGAATCAAGGAATCCTGCCCACTGTGCGGAGAGTGCCAGACGAAGGAGATTGTGTATGAGGCAACTGCAGAATCTACCTGCAAGATCGGCCTATCAGAGACACCTTTCAAAGCCCGTCACGCCAACCACCTGACCTCCATGCGTCATGAAAAATACAAAAACAGCACTGAGCTCGCAAAACAAGTATGGGAGCTGAAGAACGAGGGGAAGCCGTTGACCATTACATGGAAGGTGCGGGAGAAGAGCCGATCATACAGATGTGAGTCAAAAAAATGCAATCTTTGTACCGCGGAAATTTCCATATCCTGACTACACCCAAGAAGCTCCTACTCAACAAGCGGTCTGAGATCGTCTCGAAATGCAGGAATGAGAATAAGTGCCTCCCCATCGCCTCTTTCCGCGCTTTCATGCTCACACCTGCCTGTTACCCGCCACCCTCCTGGCACTTCCACTGTCGCGCCTCGGCCCGCGCCAGCTTTCTCCCCATACCTCACACCAGATTTAGCGCTAAATTTGTTTATGCTTGTGGCCCTATGTGTTTATAAGCACACTGTTGGGTGGACCCGAGTATCAGTTGTCTGATGATTGCCTAGCGGCATGAAACTCAGAGTTACAACCAACCTGAACGTCCTCCACTGAGTCTGCTATGTACATGCATACATACATACATACATACTAACATACAAACATACATACATACATACATACATACATACATGCATACATACATACATACATACTGTGCACAGTGGAAGGTCAAATTATGCTTTGCTTACTTAGAATTTTCAGAACCACCCCACACATTTCTTATCCAGTGGATTTTGCTGGACTTCTAATTAGTACTATCCGTATATTCCCAGTTATAGACTTGAATTACCAGACATTGTTATGCGGAAATCGTATGATAAAGCCCTATCCTGGAAGAGACTTCTAATTCAGTTGTTAAACTGCAGCACTTGAAAAAGGGAATTTGTCACCTTACACATACAGGATGGTGTGTGTGTGTAAACTGGCAGAAAAGCAAAGACCTTTAGAGCATTGATTGTGGTAAGACGTGGCAAGCACTTCCACAGCTTATCGCGATACGTGTTGTGAACTGCCTGTGCAGTGAAGCAGATCTGGGCACCTCCTTGGTTTATTTTTATCCGAGAGATCACGTATACGGTACCTTGAGCCTGGTTGATGACAAGCAAGGTCCACGTGTACCCATATCTGCTAATAAATAGTTTTTGGTGGATTTCCTTTTCCTCATTTTTCTAATTTCTACCTTTTAAAAGTTATCAAAGTTGACCATCCCAAATCCTTGATATTTGAAATGGATGCTTGTTTCAACTGTACAGCAAGCGCAGTGCATGCATCCAGAACTCGCAAAGGACGAAATACGCCCAACCAAACCAGCTTCTGGATATCTTTAGAATCTGGTTGAAATGATTGTTTTAGCCTCTTGGGAATGCCGTCCATTTCTGATACTGTCAGACCTCTCTTATCCCGATCCCTCGCTATCTGGAAGAAAATAGCTGGTTTACTGTAAACGCCGTGTATATAAGGAAATGCGAGTTAACGAGGAGAAATCTGTCTTTAAAATAGAAATCGTTATACAGAAATCGATACATATACTGTCCTATTGAGCGTTGAGAATAAGTGAGAATCGTTACCTTACAGTGCATTTCAAAACTATAGACGCGCAGGGTTTTTGAAATATTTCAAATTTGGCTGGAACTTTTTGTGAATAGTTTTCGGAATATTGCTCAGGATCGCTCCACAATTACTCTCATAATAGTTTCTAAAGGATTGGATAACAGACGCCCAATTTGGAAAAAATCATGCACAAAGTGATCACAGATTTTATGTGGTATAGATGCTGGCATAACGGTTTTTGCCTAGGTACGCGTCTATAGTTTTGAAATGGACTGTAGGTACACGTAAACCAGTCAATTTTGGGAAATCGTTATATATGTGCCTCGTTAGAATAATGGCTTTTACAGTACATATTTACAGCATACGTGATGCATACAACATAAACGGTGTTCGGTTATCCGGTTCCCTCGCCTATCTGGATATTTTTTTTGTGAAAAACGGATGTCTGCAGTTGAGTGAGGTCTGACCTTATCAGGAAAGTGTACTCTGCTTATAGTGGGACAAGGGGAAATACCCTCGGAATATGCGGCACTCGAGTTTGGTACTTTGAAGTTCTTTAACGAGATGTATAGATGGCGTTGTGGCACTCCTCAAGAATTTGTATTGTACAGTTGTGCTGGAATTGGTGCGAATGTGGCTGGACATACACATGTACAAGTATAGTGGTGTTGTCGGGACTGGTACAGGGCACCAGTGTTGCACTTTGGGTTGGATTTCAGTGAGCGCAACTGTAACCGCTGGTTTCATTCCTTCCAGAGTTTCTGTGACATAGTAACGGATGTTATGGCTGATTTCTACAGTACGCATTTGTTATAACCCTTCCTCTTCTCAATCTGTATGTTATAATTTTGCAGATATATTCCCAATAAACCATGAACGGAGACCCCCTCGAATTAGGCCTCGGCCTTTGGGGAATCCATAAATTTAAAAAAAACTGTTTTCCAGTCTGTTAATCCAAGATGGGTCTTGTGTTATGCATCCAGGTCATGCGGTTGGTCCTGGCATGGATCGCCTTCTGTGCTATCACTCCTCTGTGCATGGGGCAATCACCGACAGTGACAGGTAAGCAAATTCATTATCTATTTTTACTTTTAGACCTTCACCTGTCATATGCATGCAGTTCGTGGCTTTTTGATCGGTTCCAAATCCGCAGGGTCCATTCGATTTGCAATGACTGATCGGTCAAAACCGAATCTAAATGCATTCAGTTCATTATCTCTGGTATCTGCCTAGACCCAAGGGAACACTAAACGAAATATTTTGCAGCTGCATTCTACATTTGAGAAGTATCGATACTTGACCAGTTCACATAGTAGAATATTGGAGAACTTTTATACGAAAAAAATCGTTAACACAAGCATCTGCATGCCGCACTCACACAACGAGCAACCAGTTTGGGGAATAGGAGGGTTTGTCAATTGCTTTGCCAGGCTCAGAGTGAGTGACAGCTTAGAGCTGTGTGAATGTGTGTGTATGGCAGCTGGGCAGGGCCCTGCTGCGGAGGCTGAGTGAGCCGTATGGAGGCAGCCGGGCAGGGCCCGGCTGCGGAGGCTGAGTGAGCCGTATTGAGAGGCTGAGTGAGCCGTCTGAGTGTGAGAGGCTGAATGAGCCGTATGAGGAGCCTGGTAAGCAAGGTTGACTCCCCTCCGTGTATTTACAGAGTTTCGCCGGTAGACGGCATCGGTGTAGTTATTGTAGGCCGGTATGATAATGGATACCGACAGGAGAGAACTAGAATAGGAAACATGATGATGACAATAGTGGAGTGGGTGGGTGGGTTGAGAAAGAAATCCACTGCCAATGCGGACAAAGCAAGAACTGAAGTCAGGAACAGTGGACTTCAGAGAACAATGAGCGTGTGAGAGTTTGTTGGGAACAGAGCATGCGCCTTCTGTGTTAACATATTTTTGCGCGTGCGCAAAAAAATCATTTAACACAAGCATCTGCATGCCGCACTCACACAACGAGCAACCAGTTTGGGGAATAGGAGGGTTTGTCAATTGCTTTGCCAGGCTCCGAGTGAGTGACAGCTTAGAGCTGAGTGAATGTGTGTGTATAGCAGCTGGGCAGGGCCCTGCTGCGGAGGCTGAGTGAGCCGTATGGAGGCAGCCGGGCAGGGCCCGGCTGCGGAGGCTGAGTGAGGCGTATTGAGAGGCTGAGTGAGCCGAGGCTGAGTGAGCCGTCTGAGTGTGAGAGGCTGAATGAGCCGTATGAGGAGCCTGGTAAGCAAGGTCGACTCCCCAAATAGAGAACCTCCTATTCACTGTTAACTGTAGAGGGGGTGCCACAGATTGTGGACAATAGTAGAGTGATATTGAGTTACTGAGTGTACAGTCGGTACATAGGTGACATTCAGTTATGCTCTGGAACCCACAATAAGTGGGCTCAGTCTGTCTGATCAGCGCTTACCCAGGACCGGTGCTGCCAGCTGTCATGGCAGTTTGCATGTGGGCTTCAGTCACTCGGCTGTGCAAGGCACGGCCGAAGTCTCCCCAGGAATGGACGGAAGAGCACGCACGGGAGTGGGCATGTGAGCGGCGGTAGGGTGGCACGAATAGCATCGCTTGAAATCTTGCCCGGAGAGAGCGTCAGCAAGGATGTTGGTAGTTCCCGGTATGTGACGGGCGGTGACCATAAAGTTACCCTTGGCGCAGATGAAGAAAAGCTGCCGTAGGAGTGACATCACATTAGGGCAGCGACTGGTGCCAGACTTGAGAACAGCTGCGACAGCTTCGTTGTCGGTATGGAAGCGGATACGCTTGCGACACCACTGGTGGCCCCACGTAGCACATGCAATGCAGATGGGGTACAGCTCCTTGAACGTAATGCAGAGCGGAGTGTGTTGTGGTGACCAGGTGTCGGCGAACCAATGCGTGCCGTAAACTGCGCCATGCCCAATGGCGCCAGATGCGTCAGTTTCTATCAGGATGTCGCTGGCCAGCGTCTCCTGGAGATCGAGGAAGAATGACTTGCCATTCCAGCCATCGAGTAGGTGAGACCACCAAAGAAGGTCCAGATGACATTCTGGAGAGAGACGGATGCGGTGGTAGGGCTTGGAAACGTTGCGCGTGGCATCATACAGTCGGCGCATGAATGTATGGCCCGGCGTGATGACGCGGCTGGCAAAAGTTCAACTTGCCCAACAGCTGTTCAAGCTCCCGTAGACGGCAGAATTGGCGTTGGCGAAAGGCCAATAGTCTGGAGCGGATGTCGTCAACCTTGTCCTGTGGGTGACGAGCCACTTTCTGGAAGGAGTCCAGTTTGATGCCCAGGAAGGTGAGACAGGAGGTTGGGCCGACTGTCTTTTCGTCGGCAATGGGAGCTCCCAGGTAGCGGAATACGGAGAGGACTACGTTCAGACGCTGCGCACATAGCGTTGAGTTTGTGGGACCACAGAGCCAGAAGTTGTCCAGAAGGTGCAGGAGGTGGGGAACCTGGAACAGTTCACAGCTGATCTGGCAAAGTGCGTCCGCAATGCAGTTAAACAAGCAGGGTGTGGACCTCAGCCCGAATGGCAGTACTTTGTCATAGTAGAATTGGCCCTGCCACTGGAAACCCAACAAATGGTATGCTTTGGGTGCGACCGGGACCAGTCGAAATGCATTGCGTATGTCGAGCTTCGCCATCAAGGCACCGGTACCTTGACGTTGCAGACGCTCAATGGCATCGTCCACTGTGACAAAATGTAGGGAGAACGAATCCTTGTTTATTCTATCATTGACAGACATACGGTCAGGGTAAGACAGGTGGTGAATGAGGCGGAATTTCCCCTTGTTCTTGGGCACTAAGCCGAGCGGAGAGCATACAAACGGGTGGAAAGGCTGGACCGAGAAAGGACCGGCCGATTCGTCATGCTGGACCCGGTCAGCAATTTCAGGGCTGGTATTTGGGATCACAAAACGGGAGCACGTCAGAGGCCATCTTGAATCACGCTACGTCATCAGATACCCGCACGTGATGCGGGGCCGCGAGGTCGCGACTGCGCAAAAGTGTACTTGCCAGTACAGATCTTTGACCTAGCTGCAAGAGCAAGTGCTAGTTTTTATTTTTTGGTGGTGCTTGAACTAGTTCGAACTGCTTCCCTTCGACTTTCTTTGACAGAGCGGGTGCTGTTAGGGTTTCCTGTGGTCAGTTTGTATCCACCACCGGTCTTGTATGTCAGTGCTTGTACAAGGAGGTGTTCAGTAGTTATTTTCAGTCCGCACCATGGATCGCATCCAGGGTAGGAAATCGCACTCTGACCGGCTTGATTATCCCGAGTCGAGAAAGAAGCGAATTAGTGGCCAGTTCGGCTCAGTATCATGGCCAGCTGGACGTAGATCAGATCGCCCCGAGGTCGAACAAACCGACAGTAGTCCTGAAATCCTTACCTCGCAGAAACATTGACGATGTGGTGGAGCGCGGTGTTCAAGAACAAGGAACCATGGTAATAATTGGATTCGCTCCAGAAAAATTATTCTCGTGGTTCCCGGTTCCTTTCCCAATATTTCCTATGGTCTGGAATACGTGCATCACCAGGGCCTGCTCTAGACATTCAACACAGCCCGGTCAGAGTGTACCTGGCGCATGCAGGCCAGCCGGGTCAAGCCGGGTCAGATCATCCGGCAGAAAAACAACCAAAAAGCCTGCTCAAAACGCAGGAAAACAGAAAGGCGAATTTATTACCGGAAATCGGAAATTTTAGAGAACAAGGCAAACTATAGACTGGCATGGTCGTAGTCCAGCCAGGGTCGACCTTTCTTCCAAGAGTCTTGGAAAGCGTCAGTTTTTTTTCTCTTCGCTGCGGGCTCCATCGTCCAAATCACCAGTCGGCTGAAAACTTGCAACTGTGTCAAAAGCTGTAGCCAAAAGTAACGCTTTTGACTGCCTGCCCCATGCCATGGCCCATATGGCCATCGACGTCTTTGAATGTCCTGACTTCCTGCTCGCCGCTGGCCAAATCGCGCTCGAACCAGTTGACCCCAGTTGACCTGGTTGACCCTTGTAGCCGAGTTTCTGTCTTCTCTACCACCGGAGGCATGGGAAAGCATGGTGCTTTGCTCTACAAACGCATCGCCTCTCTCCTCGCTGCCAAGACTGGGGAGCCATACAGCATCACCCTAGCTGCCATCCGCTGCCAGATTGGCTTTGCACTGGTCCGTTCAGCGCTGATGTGCTTGCGTGGTGCACGCAAGGCATTCTTACCAGCAATGGCCTCAGACTCGGCAGCGCTTGTTGTTGCTGAAGCAAGAATCTCAGCTTGAGGCTTACATTATTATTATTATTATCTGTCAAGTGTCATTAATGACATTGTACATGATCATCACCACGTGCACTCGATCTAATCATTGATTGTCTTTATTTTATGTTTTGCCCGTAGTTTCTGTCGCTTGTAGACTGTAGTGTGTAGATCTACGGTTGTGCTAGATTTGCAACAGATGGGGTCCGCGAGTCGTAAAATACCGGTATTTTAGGAATCCATTGTCAGTTTGAGCAAGAGTCCATAATTATGGACTCTTGGTTTGAGACATTTTTCAGCCGGGTCAGACTGGACCCGGTGTTATCTGTTCAGCCAGGTCGTGCAGTTCCCCAGCCGGGCGCGTGACCCGGCTGACCCGGCTCTCCAGCAGGCCCTGATCACGCTGAAGCCTAGATGAATAAGATTGTAAGTCAGTCTTCTCTCTAGCTCAAGATTTTGCGAACATGGTATCAGTGAACAATAAAAGCAAAGGACACAGTGCAACAAATGGAAAATGCACGTCTCCTTCTTTTCCTTGCCGTGCGCACTGCACTGACTCTGTCACAGTCTGCAGTTCTGACTGGTGTCTTCCGTTTGTGAAAGAACCAGCGCAAGTCGCGTGGCGCGGCGTCCTTCAAAACGACACAAGTGAGCTCCACATCAGCCGATTTTGACAATCGATGGCTCAAAATTTTCAGTAGAAGATGCTCCATACTTTCACCGAAGCGAATTTCGCCAAAACGATCCTAGAGGTGGGACACGTTTACCGAGTTTGAGGGTGTTATTTGAAGTCTAAATTGCGAAAATCAAAAAATCCTTCGGTGAATCCCTTTGCCCACATCTGAACTCGGTGCCTGCAAAATCTCAGCCTGCTAGAGAGAACTGTGGCTCACTTGCGTGGATTTGAACAGGCCAGAGTCGACGCGAAGTACGGCAAGATTCCCTGTACACAGCATGGTGTGACACATGTCACGTGAACCAAGATGGCGCCCACATGTTTCTGTACAAGTACTAGCCCTGAATTTGTTGTTGTACAAACTGAGCATGTTCAATGGCAGTTGGGAGGTTGCCAGAGATGATAGATACAGAAGCACCAGAGTGGCCAATGGGGAACCCGTGTTGCAAGCCATTAAGGATAAAGTCAGAGAGGACACGATTAGAAATACGAGGCAAAAGAGTCATTAGGCGGGCTATGTACAGAGGCGTGGGGAGACTACTTCGCTGCGACGGGCTTGTCCGTCTGGCGGGGTTCCCGGCGACCGTCGTTGGTGCAGCGAGTGGCGGGATGACCTCGGTCGCCGCAGGTTGAGCAGATGTGCAAGCGTTCACAGGGCTGGTGTTGGCATGGGCGGCCACGGTTGAAGTTGAGGCAGATCTGGCGGGTGCTGCCCGCCCCGGCCAGAAATGGCTGCGTAAGACGGCTGGTGTTGGTGCCAGCTGGAGCATGTGGCGCTGCCAAATACTGTGGGCAATGGTCACGGCTGTGGTGCGTTGTGCAGCGCGGACATGATGGTCGGGGTGCCCGGATCAGGTGCAGGCTCCAGAGGCTTTGGTCGATTGTGTCCCAACGAGCCGAGGTTGTTGCCACCGCTGCACGGAAGGCACGGTCATACCCCAGTACAGCTGGGGTCACAAACTGCTGGTTGGCAGTACAGATAATGTGCTGGTACGCCACCAGCTCCAGTGCTCGGAATGGCACATGTTTCAGTGCGCAGGCCATGTAGATTGTGTAGGCTTCCAGCCAGGCAGTGAAGTCGACAATGGAGCGCTTCTTGGTCACACATAAATTGAGGGACACACGCCGGCCCTCTCCGTTGGCGGTACTGAGCTCCAAGGGCTCGGACCCTGCGCCCACATTCTCTGGGGGGAGATCCTCCAGCTCAATATATTCGCCGCGTGTGATTTTGTCAAGCAACTTACGCGGGACCGTGGGAACAATAGAGCTGGACTCACGAGTGTTCGCCATGGGCGCTGCGATCGGAGGCAGCGCGGGTTGCATGAGGGAAATGTCCATGGGGCCGGAGTCGACCTGCGGCGGGTGATGGGTGACGGTGTTGGACGCGGTTTGGACCACATCTGCCACTGAGGGGACTGCCGCCTGAGCATGGCCGTCCGGATCCTGGCGAGCTAAAATTTGCTCCTCAAGGCGCTCGACTCGCGCCAGCAGGGGGTGCAGGGCCGTCGACACGGCCGCCGTAACGGAACGTGGATTTAGGCCAGTTGTGAGTAAGCTGGCTGGTTACGTGCACGGGGCATCTCTGTGAGCTGTGGTAAACCTTGAGATTGAGGTTGAGAAAGAAATCCACTGCCAATGCGGACAAAGCAAGAACTGAAGTCAGGAACAGTGGACTTCAGAGAGCAATGAGCGTGTGAGAGTTTGTTGGGAACAGAGCATGTGCCTTCTGTGTTAACATATTTTTGCGCGTGCGCAAAAAATCATATTTGCTTTGTTTCTGATCTCAGGTCCTCTGACTCGTCAACTCTGTTCAAAACCAATATAAAAGAGATCTGTTTGCTTTGCTCAAACAGGGCAGCCTTATACAACAAAACACAAGCGGCTTGGGGCACCTTCAATTTCTGCACTAAACGAGCATAACAAAAAGCATAGAAAAAAATAAAAACCAATTTGCTCTGCCAAAACACTCAACGCAAAAGAAGGGTTTCGCACCATTTCACACCACTTCCTGAAAACGATCTCTCAGCTTCATTGTTTTTGGCTGAGGATGGGCCCAGCCGAAAAAAATTGGACAGAATTTCTATTTTTTTATTTGGAATTTGTAATCGAGAGGGCAATTTTGGGCAACGGTGTGCAATTTTCTGAAACATGAAGTGGCTACAGTGGAGTCTGCACACATACATACAGGTCAGCCCCCCCCCCCCCAAAAAAATCCCGGGAAATCAAAAATACTCCCGTGACCCCGGAGATTTCAAGCAAACTCCCGGAAAAGTCACATTTTTGTCTGATCTAGGTTGTTCCTGAAAACTCCAGGAACTCACCTCCAATGTCCCAGTGTTTTTTTTTACAAATATGAACAGTGTGCACTCGCACTTCAAACTGTGCATGGCACTTTCAAGACCTGGCCAGCCTAGCCTGAATAATCTGCACCGGCATGCGTGCAGACTGATCAAACTGCACTGTAGGGTTGAACTGTGGTCTATCCAGAGTCTAGAATTGCTGTGCCGTCGAACATTTTTCGGGAGAAAAAGCTCTTTTTCACTTGTTTTTGTGCCACTCCCGTTATTAACGTATGTCTGCACCTTTAAAGCCATGGAGGTATATTCGATGATAAAGCCCATCTCAATTATAACGCCATGGGCTCCATAAATGAAATGACATTTGAAGTAGGTTTTATAAAAATGAAGAAATAAGTACTATACTAACAAACTTACAGCCCAACAGGAAGGGTGAACAAGTGGATTTAGAACTCGGATGTTGAGCCAGTAATAAATGTTGTTGCACTTTCTGACTGTATAATATCTGGTTACAGTGATGGAGAGTTACTCTTAACTCATATCCATATGTCCTCTTCCTTTCTACAAGTAGATTTAGATTGAAATTTCTGTGTTGACTTTGACTTTAATAGTATGGCATAGTGGGTGGGTCATTTGACATCTAAAATAGCTAGGAAAGCAGTGGTGTTTCGAATATAAGGCCATGGCTTTTAAAGGCGCTAACATACGGTATGAGAGAAACCCAGGGTTTCTTCATGTCTTGTCAAGGGGGTTAGATTTTGATGGTTGGTCAGTATGTGCGCACCCTGAGAAAAATGATGTGTACTTGATTTACCTGTCTTCTTTCCGCCTCTTGTTCTTCCGTTCTCTTACAGATATTGATGAATGTGCCACTGGAAGCCATGTTTGCCATGCCAACAGTACATGTCAGAACACAATTGGCTCATACAATTGCTCTTGTCATTCTGGATTCACTGGCAATGGAAAAAACTGTACAGGTAGAGTAGTTTTCTCTAACGTTTGTTCCTAATCGACTAGTCGCAACAACTGCCACAAATTCCATTCCTAGATTTTTGAGACGGCCGTAAAAGTCCGTAAATAAGTACCTTCCCTAAATGAATACTCTTTAACCCTTTTGACTCTGTCTCTCAAAGACAAGATCAGCCCCATCAGCATTCAACCCACAAAGATGTATCGGTATGTTTTGCACATGCAGCGCATAGCATGTACATCGACACACAAATGACTTCTCCATGTTACAAATGTCAGGTCCAAAAGTTAGTTCGTGCCCGAAAGTTAGTATGTGTGTGGCCACTATATTCGAAAGTAAGTACTTGGTTCGCGTCAGCAATATTGTCCCTTATCTTTCAGCTTTGTTTTTATGTCGCCAATACTCACTTCGCAGCCCATTTCATCCCAATTTTGGTTATTAACTTAGTTTGCTAGTACAGATTGAATCCTGATAATTTGAACACCAAAATGCCGGGGAAAGCCTCTATTTATCCGGACATTCTAATTATCCAAACATGTACCCACAACACCTTATGTATGTCAAAATGCTCATATTCACACGCCGAATTGCACTACGCATCATAGACACACATTTACACTGTTTAGTGGACACTAAACTGCCTGCTCACGCAAACCAAACTGATTTGCAGAAAATAAAGTGAATTTTGAATTATGGTTTGCTAACTTCGAGTTATCAGCAAAAAGCCCACACATTTTCTTTGTAGGTGGATACCGTGGGACTTCTAATTACGGTGGCTCGTACCTAAATCGAAAACTAGTCCTTTGACCATCCTTCTGCGCAGGTTTGGAGTAGAATTATTATGGAATATTATTACTTTTTGCCCCTTGCGGGTTCCAACCTCCCCGGTAAAAACTTTTTTTCTTCTTTTTCGGCAGTGGTGTGACAAGAATAGCTTCTATAATCGACTCAAAGGGTATGTTCAGGTGGCTACAGAAACATGAAACATGGCAGGCACTTTTTCATCAATCAAAGCAAATCCATTTTGCAGATTCGATGTACTTGATGGCAGTAATTTTTAAATTTACCCCCAAATTGATAGCACTTGACAAAGTATGCTTCCGGTAGCTTCAGGGGGCTATAACTTTGCAGACTCTTCCCATCACTATCTAAGTATACCAAAAATATAGAAAATTTGAATGAAATCTATCGTGCCATTATGATTGACTATAATGTTTTGGTCGATTGCACACGTCAGTCAAAATTGGATTCAGTAAACTGTGCTCCTAGGTACTTCACATTGATTCCATTACAAAAATAGATTGTTTAGCATATGAACCATATAGTTTGGCTGTACTTCTTGAAGAAATGAAGACAATCTAATGGGCCAATTTCCGGAAGCAGTCCGCGGAGTACCGATATCCGCGTTCCAAACCAAATGGTATTGTTAGTATGGGCAGCCAAGAACCCTGAAAAGAAAAATGTCTTTATCTCTATACATTTCCTCATATAATTTCAAGAGTCGGCATGGAGAAAGCAATTTTATTAGTGCAATTACACTCAGACGTCTCTTATCCGGGCACCTTGGGACCGGGCACTGCCCGTATCTCAGATTTGCCCGTATCTCAGGATAACTCATCTACCATGTATCATTATCATTTTTGAAGACGTTTTCTTGGCGCATATTGCACCTGTTCAGGTTACAAAAATAATCCATGGATAAAAATGTGTGGATTACACCGGTTGGGAGTGACAAATAAGCACTTGTGCATTCGGAAGAAAAGTTGAACCCCCCAAATTCGAAGCATTTTTGCCATAGGAACTCAAGCTGAGGGTGGCCGGTAGAGAGACGTGCCCGTATCTGAGGCGTCCGGATAAGAGGCGTTTGAGTGTAGGAGTACAATAGATGCAGACATGGCCAGACAACAACGAGTTCATGAAATGTTTTAAGAGAGCATGTCTGAGAATACCAAAGTATGTGTGCAAGTGGATCTCTCCGATTTCGCTCAAAATTTGCAGGTAGGTTCCCTTTGGGGTGTGGATCGATTGGGCAAATCCCTTGAAAAAGTTTCTGAAGGGAACCTTGAAATTTGCATACCCCTCAAAAATGGCCGAAATATCACATTATTTATGGGTCTAGAAACGAGTCATGCCACAGCGTATACGAACAAGCTATGAACAAAACTCCATCAAGCCAACATTGCCTCACCTTAGAAGAGTTCCTGGAGCAGTACCGCTTAGCCACGCCAGCATCCCAGAAGACGAGGTCCATCACCCCCTGACGCCACAAATGATCGTCTTGAAAATAGCCAATTTACAAGCGCTGGCAAAACAGCCAGCTACGTCCTCAATTGGCCAGAACTATACACCGGCAGATAGTAGAACACCTCTTCTAGCGCTGAGGACATGTCCCCCATCTTCCTTTTGGGGTTTTCTTGAAATAAACTTTTTTGAATTTTTCCACTCGACCATGCTGAAATACGGCCAAAGTCATACCTGCGCAGGAAAGCTCGCCCCTCCGCGACGTCTCCTCAGCAATTTCTACTCCAACACTACTGCCAAGGCCGCAGAACAAAGTGTAGTGTTGACTCTGACAAGGAAAAGCAGCGGTGATCACTTGTCACTCCAAACGACAAGCTTCTCCTTGCGCCACCAATAATTTTTTGTGCGACTGTTGATGCAAAAGTGACTGAAGGCCTAGCGCAGTTTTTGAATTTTATTGCAAGATGCACGGTGAGATCGCGTGCTCTGTGACGTAGGATGACGCTTCCTGCATCACGATACGCAGCCATCGATCGCGAACGTGTCTGGAACGCTACTCGGAACACACCATGATGGCAGAGGTGAGATGAGCTGCATTTCCTGCTTGATCTGCTGAGAACCCCCACAAACTGTCCTAGGAGTGTTGCAATGGCAGCAAGCCGTTGAAATATGCCCCGTACAGCATGGAGAGTTATTCGTCTTTCACACTTACCTCCTGCAATCCCGAACATAGTCCAACAGTAAACGTCCCTAGTTTTCATGTCGATGCTCAACAAAAGCGGCTAGATCGGTCCCTTTGTGTTGACTGGCACGCGAGCAGCACAGGCTGCACGCACTTGTCGCGTGAACTGCATGAGAGATTTCTTACGTCATAAAGAATGTGATTTCATCATCATTTGCCTGGTCTTCGTCCTACATGGTCAGGGAAAGTCCCGGTTCGTAGGCCTACAACACGGTCAGCGTGCTCTTGAGCGCAGTCTCAACACAAGTGTGATCACTTCCAGACCAACGCCACAGCCACGGGCGTTCAAGGCGAGTAACAAGCGCACTTGACAAAGGTCACTCTGAAAATTTCGTGAGCCGTGGGCCACGCGACTTGGCATTCTTGCGTCACAAGGCACGTGATTTCACCGTGCATCTTGCAATAAAATTCAAAAACTGCGCTCAGGCCTTCAGTCACTTTTGCATCAACAGTCGCACAAAAAATTATTGGTGGCGCAAGGAGAAGCTTGTCGTTTGGAGTGACAAGTGATCACCGCTGCTTTTCCTTGTCAGAGTCAACACTACACTTTGTTCTGCGGCCTTGGGAGTAGTGTTGGAGTAGAAATTGCTGAGGAGACGTCGCGGAGGGGCGAGCTTTTCTGCGCAGGTATGACTTTGGCCGTATTTCAGCATGGTCGAGTGGAAAAATTCAAAAAAGTTTATTTCAAGAAAACCCCAAAAGGAAGATGGGGGACATGTCCTCAGCGCTAGAAGAGGTGTTCTACTATCTGCCGGTGTATAGTTCTGGCCAATTGAGGACGTAGCTGGCTGTTTTGCCAGCGCTTGTAAATTGGCTATTTTCAAGACGATCATTTGTGGCGTCAGGGGGTGATGGACCTCGTCTTCTGGGATGCTGGCGTGGCTAAGCGGTACTGCTCCAGGAACTCTTCTAAGGTGAGGCAATGTTGGCTTGATGGAGTTTTGTTCATAGCTTGTTCGTATACGCTGTGGCGTGACTCGTTTCTAGACCCATAAATAATGTGATATTTCGGCCATTTTTGAGGGGTATGCAAATTTCAAGGTTCCCTTCAGAAACTTTTTCAAGGGATTTGCCCAATCGATCCACACCCCAAAGGGAACCTACCTGCAAATTTTGAGCGAAATCGGAGAGATCCACTTGCACACATACTTTGGTATTCTCAGACATGCTCTCTTAAGGATTTTGCTCTTGCTCTCTCTTTCTTTCTCCCTCTCCATATCTCTCTATCTCTCTCTCTCTCTCTCTCTCTCTCTCCCTCTCTCTCTCTCTCTTTCTCTCTCGCTCCCTCTCCCTTGCTACCTCTCTCTCTCTCTCGCTCCCTCTTTCTCTCTCACTCTCTCTCTCACACTCGTTCTCTCTCTCTCTCTCTCTCTCTCTCTCTCTCTCTCTCTCTCTCTCTCTCTCTCTCTCTCTTGCTCTCTCTCTCTCAATTCAGGATATCATTTTTTCCTACTACGAAAGTCTTTGCGCTTTCGTCGTACAACCACACACTCTCACCTTTAATTACAACATTGGTGTTTCCAGGGGTGCCCCTTTTCCCCCGTCCTTTTCAATACTTCCTCCGCGTCATCGAAATTGTCGCAGTTCGACTAGTGACTTGTCACTTGTTACTGACAACTCCATAAGCTAAGCCATTCGAAACTTATTAAACAGTATGAAAGTCTGAAGACTAGAGTAACGTTCCAGGACAGTTGGACAGGGAGTTTTCACGCAGAGATGAAGGCCTCGTCATCGCTGATGTCAATGGACGCAAAAATATCGTTCCGAAATATTTCAAGGAAGGTTGAAAGTTGGTCGCGCCTCATCTCAAACGCTTTGACTTTCTCCACAGGACAAGAGCTGCTATGCTTGTCGTCTGCTAGCTCTGGATGATTTCTACTTCACCACCAACGAAGCCTAGTAAGAATACACGATCGTTGCGAGGTCGATTGATTACCGTCGGCGGAATCACATCGATCTTGAAATGAACTTTTTTTAGCCGTGGCATGCCCATTTATTTTGGCTGTGTGGTCACAGCT